CACCCCAGCTGGGCCCTGCACCCACAGCCCAAATCCCTCCCCCCTGCTCCTCACCCTCCTAAACTTCCCCTGGGAAAGCAACAGCACCGGCAGGGTCTGACCCACGTGAGGCATCAGGGGTCAGAGGGGGCCCTCCAGGAGCCCAACTGCTTCCCAGTGGGAAGGTGGGGTCCCCCTGCACCCACATCCCAGGGACCATCCCTTGAGGACAACCCCCAAGGATGCAGCTGCTCCCACCTGACCCTGACCCGGGAAGGATCCCGGGAAAAGCGGAGCTGGAACCGCTCGGGGCCTCAAACCTGCCCAGGGGCTGGAGGCAGGGGAGGGGGAACAGAGGGACCCCGGGCACCCACCCGGGCACCTCCCAGGGGACACGGAGCCTGGCTGGGCCTGGCAGGGACAGCGTGGTGGTGGCTCTGCCTCTGGCCGGCTGTGTGGCAGAGGGAGGTGCTGGCAGGGAGTCACTGGAGCTCCGCTCTCGAGTGGAGATAAATGTCACAGCAGCCACCAGCCAGCACAGCCCCGGCACGGGGATTTCATGGACACCTCTCCCCCCGCTCCAGCAGCTGCTCCACGCCTGGGAATGCAGCCCGGGACCAGCTCCTCCGCTGGCAGCAGTTTGGAGCCCCAGCGTCCCCCGGGCTGGTCCCTCCGGCTGGGAGGGGATTTCAGGGGGTCTCATCGTTCCCCCGAGCCCAACTTGGAGCCCCAACATCCCACCGTGGCCAAACCTTCACCTGGTGGGAGACCCAGCTCTGTTGGCACGGAGGGGTGTCCCCACGTCCCCATCCCTGCCTGGGTTGGGGTCCCTTCCACACCCCCAGCCCCACATCCAGTGGCATCATCCCGGGAGCACTGAGCTGCTCCCACGAGGCACCACCTGCCATCACCAGGTCCCTGCCGTGCCCTGCCGGGGACAGGCCGGGTGGCCCCGAGGCAGTGGTGGTGGGGTGACCCCATCCCTCTGTCCCACCCCCCCAGCCCCAGCCCCGGTGTCTGTGCGGGCAGGGACCGAGCGTCTCTCTGAGCCCAAACGCCGGCTTTCTGGTGAAATCCTGCAGCAGTGTTGCCGTGACGACCCTCCCGCAGTTTCCATCCAGAGATGTTTTCCTTTGTTGTGACAGGGACGTGGGGAGCGGCCGCGGGGCCGTCGGGGTGTGGTGATGGTGGGGGGAGGCTCCCGCTGCCAGGGGCAGGGACCCCCAGAACCCGCGGGGTGACCCATCTGGGCTCCAGCACCAGAGCAGGGCTGGGGGGGGGTCCCCACAGCTCCAGCGCTGCCCTGGCTTGGCCCCAACCACCCAGGGGACAGCAGAGGGGCCGGGAGCCAGGTGACACGAGTTTGAGAGGTCTCAGCTGGGTCTTGCCCCCCCCAGGAGCCGCAATAGAGCCGAGACAGAGGGGAGACGTGGCCAAGGCGCAGTGCGGGGGCACCGCGGGGTCCTGGGGGGGTGGAGGGGTTGGTTCTGTGCTAGTAGGTGCTGAGCACCCTCGTGCCCCCGGGACAGAGCTGGTTTGGGGGGCGAGGGGGGCCCGGGAGCCTCCCGAGCTGCCCAGTCTGGCAGCCGGGGCGGCAGCGCCGTGACCGGGGTGCTGAGCAGTGCGACCGCGGCCACCCCGGGGGTGCTGAGCCCCCCGGGTGCCAGGGACCCTCCCTGCAGCCCCCCCTCAGCCAGAGCGTGTCTGTGTGCTCCCCATCCCTGGGTAGGGGGCTCACAGAGGGAGGGGGGACCCCGTCCCGCGCCCCACGGAGCCGCTTGTTATTCCGCTCAGGTCCGAGGGCGGCTAATGAAGCCCGTTCCAGGAGAGCTGCCACATTCATCAGGATTGCAGCTCATTAACGGGGCCTCTGCCACCGCAGCTGGGGCCAGCGCTCGGGGCACTGGCACGGGGACAGGCAGCGGGCGGACAGACAGACGGACAGACGGACGGGCGGACAGGCGGCTCCACGGCAGGGACAACCCGCAGCTGGGGCCTGGCCTGGCCGAGAGGCTGCTCTGGAGTTGGGCAGCCACGGAGCTGCTCAGATCTGCTCAGCCACGGAGCTGCTCCAGAGGGGACAGGGTGAATCCCGGCACCACCGTGGATCCGCTTCCACGCTGCCCCCATCCCCCTGTCCCGGCTTTTTTCGGCTTTTGGCCCGGGCCAAACCTGATGCATGGCACGAGCTGGGCATGGCAGCCCAGGGGCCGGGCCGAGGGCTGCAGAGCCACCCCCCCCCCAGGGATGCAGGGATGCCGCCCTACCCAGGCCCAACTTCCCTCCGAACCCACCAGGAGGATGCATCGATTTTATTTTCTGTTTCCATGGCAACTGCCTCCTTCCCTTCCCCCTTCCGGCAGCCGGACCCGCTCCTCGCCCTCCGGCAGCACCCACCCTGCTCCCGGGGCACGGGCTGGGACGCAGCCCCTCCTGGGCATCCCCGGGGTGGCAGTGCCACCACCTCACCCCTGTGCCCTCCGCGGTGCCAGGGGGGAATTTGGGGCCGGCGCGGGACAGGAGGGACCCCAGGACAGCCCCTCCCTGCCGGCAGCAATGATCAGCGGCAGGGCTGGCGGGACGCCGTGCTGGCTCATTAGCCAGGGCGGTAATTGTGTCCCCCCCGTGTGGGGACACCGAGCAGCATCTCCCGGTGGCAGAGCCGAGCTCGTTAATGGCACATCCCACCCTCACAGCTGCTCACACCCGTGTGCCACATCCCCGGCACGCCGGGGGTGCCAGGGATGTGGCACACGGGTGTGAGCGACACCGGCACTGCCACAGCCCGGCCACGAGCCCCTGCCTTCTCCCCTCGGGACTAAAGGTCAGCCCGCGCCTTAAAACCGGCGTTAGAATAATGTGACTGTGATTATATCCCGTATCCACCCCATTCCAGAGGCTCCCACCCATCGCCGCCGTGCCCGGCTCCTTCCCCAGCACGGAGATGCCACCACATTGTCATTCAGCATCAATTACAAACCGCATCGGGCTGTGCCAAATCCTGCCCCCCCCCCGCCCTCCCCCGGGACCTCCCGACCCCCCCGCTCGGGGAAGGGGGGTTTATCCATGAGAAAGGCCCATCCCGGAGAACAGGCAGAGCCCTGTGCCGGCAGCGCGGCCGCTGAATTCCGCCCGCGCCGCATCCCCCCGGGAATCTCCAGGGCTTTCGCGGAAGCGGAATTCAATCGGCACAAGCGATTAATTAATTAATGGTGAAGGGGCACAAGACCCGCTTCTTCTTCGGAAGCGGCTCCCGGGGCTGCTCAGCAAACCCCACACGCCGGCACCCGCCGCACAAAGGGCGCCGGCACCCGCTTCCTGCTGCCCGGAGCCCGCCGGGAGCGGGGGTCTGGATCCCTGCCGGCGCCTCCTTTGGCACCGGCCCGTCCGTCAGCTCCTGGATCAATGGCCAAGCCCCCCCGGCGGGCGGCGGAGGGCCGGGCTGGCCGGCAGCCGGGAGCCGGCGGCGATGCCAGGCCGGCACAGCCCGCGGGCACGGCCCCGGCGCGTTCCTCGACAGCCAGCGCGGGGCCCGGGCCGCGATCCCGCGGTCCTGGGGGATGATGCGCTGCCTCCCGCTTCCCCACGGGGCTGGAGGGGCCGGGGGGCGCTGGGCTGAGGGGGGAGGGAGTGCCGGGAGGTGGCACAGCCGGCCGAGCTGTCTGTCCCCCTGTCTGTCCCCCCGGCGCGCAATTAGCCCGGGGGCAAATGAGGCTCCTGCGGTTTTTGACCCAATTTCTCCGGCGACTCCCGGCGGGGGAAGGAGGGGAGGAGGGAGGAGGGAGACGGAGCCCGTCACGAGTGTGCTGGTGTGTGTCACACGTGTGAGTGAGCACGCTGGGGCACACACCTGTGTGCTCCCTGGCACATGTGTGCTGGATGACACGTGTGTGCTCCCTGGCACATGTGTGCTGGATGACATGTATGTGCTCCCTGCAGGGACACAGGGATGAGCAGGATTGCTGGGCCGAGTAAGGGTTCTGGGATCTGCAGGGATCTGCAGGGATCTGCAGGTATAGGCAGGGATGTGCAGGAATTCAGGGATGCAGGGATGTGCAGGGATGCGGGATTCAGGGATGCAGAGATATGCAGGAATTCAGGGATGCAGGGATATGCAGGGATGCAGGGATGTGCACAGTTGCAGGGATATGCAGGGATGCGGGATCCAGGCATCCCTCCCACCCCGCACTCCCTCCCTCCCTCTCGGTCTCTCCGCTGCCGGTCCCACCTACAGCGCTGCCCGGAGGGTCCCCGCGCCCCCCGCCGGGTCCCCCCTGTACCGGGGGGGATCCCCCCGATCCCGAGGACACGCAGGGCCGGGATGGGCGAGGCTTTGCCAGAGGGGGCGAACACGGGGGGGTCCCGGGGCTGCCCCGCGGGGCGCGGGGGGGTCCCCGCAGCGGGGAGGGCGGAGCGGGAGGAGGGCAGGGGGGAGGTACCGGACACCGGGAACGGGGAAGCGGCTCCGCCTCTTCCTGCGGCGGGCGGTGAGTGCGGGGATGGCCCGGCGGGAGGGGGGCGGGCGTGGGGGCGGCTCCGGGCGGGGGGACGGGGCTGCCGGGGGTCCCCATCGCTGTGCGGGTGTCCCCGATGCTGTCCCAGGGTCCCCATCGCTGTCCGAGGGTCCCCAGTACGATCCAAGGGTCTCCGTTCCTGCCGAGGTGTCCCCGGTGCTGCTTTGGCTGTCTGCAATGTAGCTCAGGGGTCCCCAGTGTTGCTCAGGGGTCCCCAGTGTTGCTCAGGGGTCCCCAATGTTACTCAGGGGTCCCCAGTACGATCCAGGTGTCCCAGTACTGCTTAGGGGTCCCCAGTGCTGCTCAGGGGTCCCCAATGCAATCCAAGGGTCTCTGTTCCTGCCCAGGGGTCCCCACCACTGCCAGAGTGTCCCCAATGGTACTTGAGGGTCCCCAATACTATCCAAGGGTCTCCATTCCTGCCCAGGAGTCCCCAACGCTGCCAGAGTGTCCCCAGTCCTGCCCAGAGGTCCCCAGTCCTGCCCAGGAGTCCCCAGTCCTACCCAGGGGTCCCCAGTCCTGCCCAGGGGTCCCATGTCCCCTCCCCTCGGGGTCTCTCCCCAGGCCGCGATGCCGCTGCAGCCCCTGGTCTGTGCTGACACAACCACGCGGTGAGTGCTGGTCCCTGCCGGGTGTCCCCTGGTCCCTGTGGGGTGTCCCCTTGTCCCTGCCGGGTGTCCCCTGGTCCCTGTGGGGTGTCCCCTCGTCCCTGCCCGCTGTCCCCCGGTCCCTGCCCGCTGTCCCCCGGTCCCTGCCGGGTGTCCCTCGGTCCCTGCTGGGTGTCCCTCGGTCCCTGCTGGGTGTCCCTTGGTCCCTGCCGGGTGTCCCCCGGTCCCTGCCGGGTGTCCCTTGGTCCCTGTGGGGTGTCCCCTTGTCCCTGCCGGGTGTCCCCCGGTCCCTGCTGGGTGTCCCCTGGTCCCTGTGGGGTGTCCCCTTGTCCCTGCCGGGTGTCCCCTGATCCCTGCCGGGTGTCCCCAGGTCCCTGCCGAGTGTCCCCTGGTCCCTGCCGGGTGTCCCCTGGTCCCTGCCGAGTGTCCCCTGATCCCTGCCGGGTGTCCCTCGGTCCCTGCCGGGTGTCCCCCGGTCCCTGCCGGGTGTCCCCCGCTGCCCCCAGGCCCCAGGAGGGTCTCATGCCCCCAGCCTGCTGTCCCCTGCCCTGTCCCTGCAGGGTGAGCTCGGTGCTGAACCGGGACGTGAAGCAGTTTGGGAAGCAGCACATGTTCGACGCCAGCGAGGAGACCTGCTGGAACTCGGACCAGGTTTGGGGGCAGGGGGACGGGGGAGCCACGGGGGTGGCACAGGAGCCCCGCTCTGCCCCCTCTGTGACATCCCTGTGACATCCCTGTGTCGTTCCTGCCCCCAGGGCACGTGCCAGTGGGTCACCCTGGACTTCCCCCGCCCCGTCAAGGTCTCGCAGCTCCAGGTCCAGTTCCAGGGGGGATTCTCCAGCCGGCTGTGCAAGCTGGAAGGTGGGGTTTGGGGGTACCTGGGGGGTCCCCCTGCCTTGCTTTACCCACACCTGGGTCCTGCAGGCGGGGAAGGGAAGGCCCAGAGGGATTTGTTGGCCGTTCCCAAAGCCCAGGAGGGGCTGAGGCCGTGGGCTGGAGCAGCTCCCGGGGTGGACAGCGAGGAGCTGGGGGGTCTCGGGGTGCTGGGAGGATTTTGGGACAGCCACCGGGGGCTCCCCAGCACCTGAACCTCCCCCCTCATCCTCCACAGGCTGCAGAGCAGGTGAAGAGCTGGTGAAGATCTCTGAGCTGTACCCCCAGGACAGCCATGCCATGCAAATATCCTTTGCCACGTGTGGCCCCTCGAGGCTGTGGAGGGGCGGGGGGATGAGGGCACAGTTGGGAACCTGGTGGGGCTTTGCCACTGCCAGAGCTGCTCAGCAGAGCTGGAGCACCCGGTCTGTGAACCCCAGGGGTGCCCACCGGGAGCAGGTCTCCCACTGCCTGTTCTATTCCTGTTTTATTCCTGTTCTATTCCTGTTTTATTCCTGTTCTACTCCTGGTTTATTCCTTCACGGGCCCTGCAGAGGTTCCAGGTGGAGGAGAAGGTGCTGGACAGGCTGAAGATCACCTTTGAGAACAGCACAGACTTCTTTGGCAGGATCGTGGTCTATCACCTGGGGGTGCTGGGGGAGAGGCTGTAGGACACTGGGGGGGCTGCCCCCACCCCTGGGGGGCTCTGAAAACCTGCCCCTGCTGCCCCCCGAGGAACCCCCATCCCCGGGGATGGCAGTGACAGAGGGACACTGCCAAGGGATCCCCGTGGGATCCCCTGGGTGGGACTCGGGTGTGCAACCAGATGAATAAAGGGTGTCCCTGCTCCCTCCTGGCTGCTCCTTGGGAAGTGGCCCCCCAGGACTGAGCCCTTGGGGGTTTGGCTTGAGCAGGAGGGAGGAGGAGTGTCCCCTCAGGAGTGTCCCCAGGGGCTGTCTGTCACCTTTGCTGGCCGCCCCTGAACTCCTTGGGGCAGCTCCTGCCCGGGATGGCAGCGTGCCAGGGCTGTGCCACATTCCCACATTCCTGGCTGCCAGGGCGATGCTTCCTGCAGGATTTTCCTCCTTCCTATGCCCTGCTTCCCTGGCTGGGTGCAGGGGAGGCTTGGCAGGTTTATGGGAGGGGATACCAGGGGTGTCGGGGCAGGGGGTTGTTGGCCCAGTTCCCCCCGTGGTTCCCCAGTAAGTGGGACTGGGAACAGGGGCTGTGACAGGCCAAGGCAATGCACAGGGCTCCACAGGGCTGCTTTAGGGTTTAATTCCGAAAATGTGATCCTGGAATACACAGAGCAGCTGAGCCTGGGATGGGGCAGAAACGCAGCTGCCCTGAGGAATGAATGTCCCTGGGTGTGAGCACCGGGACTGTGCCACCCCTGGGAGAGCTGGATCCGTGGAGGGCAGGGATTCCTGGATTCCTCCATGTGCCCCTTGCCTGCAGCATCGTGCCATGGCCTGTTTCCTGGTCCCAGAGCAGAGCTGGGGCTGCAGCCCTGTGTCACTCCAGCCCTGTGTCACTCCAGCCCCGTGTCACTCCAGCCTCGTGTCACTCCAGCCCCTTGTTCTGGAACAGCTTCAGGATGTGGTTCTCGATGACCTGTTGGACTAAGGGAGGGAGAGAGGTGGCACCTGGGGAAGCCAAGCCCGTGAGGAGCCACTGCTGCTGTGGGAAGGAGCTGGTCACCCTTGTGCTCCTGTTTCCTGATGGAAAACCCCCTTCTCCAGGGGCCTGTCCCCACCTCCCCAGTCCCAGCCCTATCCCCGGGGTTGGGAAGCGGGAGCCCGAGGATCCGATTTCCCTGGATTGATGTCTCTGCGTGGCAGGGCTGCAGGGGGAGGTCAGAGCAAGCCCCAGGCAGCGCTGGAAGCTGGGAATCACCTGGAGGTTTTCCAGGGAGGGAAGGGGAGGGGACACCTGCCTTTCTTGTGGCCCAGGGCCACGGCCAGATCCATGGGGGTGTAGCCGGAATCCGCCTCCTCCGTCAGGTCAGCACCGTGAGCTGCGGGCGGAGAGCAGGGCAGGGGGGGTGAGGGGACCCCCAAAAGCTGCCCCTGCACCCCCCCCAGGGGCGTGTCCCTCTCTTCCCGAGGCGGGGGAGCAGCAATTGCAGGCTCAGGGGTTGCCCTTACCCAGCAGGGCCTCCACACACTTGACGTGGTTCCCGCGCACGGCGTAGAGCAGGGGGGTGCCACCGTTCTGGGGACAGGGGGACAGGGACGGTCACTGCCGGGCTCCCACAGCTCCTGCTCCTCCCAGACAGGGAGGCCCCGACCTGCTGGGATCCCCCTTCCACCCCCTACCAACCTCCAGGCTGGGATCCCCCTCCTGCCCTTCTTCCCAGCTTCCCAGGCTGGGACTCGCTGGGATCCCTCTTGCACCTTCCCCCAGTTCTGGGTTGGGAACCACTGGGATCCCCCTCTCCCACCTCCAGCTGGGACCTACTGGGATTGCCCTTCTG